TACACAGTTAGAACTGGATGGTTCCTAGAGTTAGAACCTGAGGGTTCACAGAGTTTGGGTGCACGGATCCACAGAGTTATAGCCTCAAGTGGCTAATATGTGTTATGTGTGGTATTTTGGGGAACTCACTAAGCTTTGTGCTTACAGTGTTTTGTGTTATGTGTTTCAGGTTTCTTTCAGGGTCATGGAACGACACAGACTTGATTGTACACAACAATGAAAGAGTCATATTTTGAGGATCCTGGTTTATTATGGAAGTGAAAACGGAGTTATGTTTTGTAATTTGATTATGAATGAGATTTTAAGAAAGTGTTTTTAAAAATTAAACCATTATGTTTAAATGAAAAATTGTTTTGAAATTTACGGTGTTACACCGTTGAGGTATATTTCGGATCTTTTCTGTTCCTATGACGATTTGTCTTTTAGAAACCCCATTTAAGCCATCTTCATCCATTTCCTAGCTTGATTGTAATAAAGAGATCATATTGAGTGGAATGGTCTTTGAATCTAGCTAGGTTTGAGCTTCAAAAGCCCAGATATACTGCCTTTATGGAGCCATTTTGCATGAAAGCCCTAGACCTACTCTTTTAAGTGTCTTTTGATCCTTTAAACCCCTTTTCATGCTTATGTACACGTAAAGTTGGAAACTTTACGTGGTAAACAAGCCTTAGGAAACCAGATCTATAAATTGTATGTAGTGGTTTTGAGTAGAATCGATTGTATAGAAGTTGCATGCAACCGACTCGGCGAGTCGTTCTTCAGACTCGGCGAGTCGGGTCGCGAGTCCTCGAGGTTTCCCCTTCTATGTATTATGCCGAGTGGAACCAGTGAGTTTTAGGGGGACTAAGTGAGTTGGAGATTGGACTCATCCACGGAGGGACTCAGCAAGTCAATGCCCTGACTCGGTGAGTCCAAGGCAATCTTCATATCTCAAGAACAGACTCGACGAGTTGTTCATACAACTCAGCGAGTCCTAGTTGGAGTGTTCATATGATGAAGGAGAACTCAACGAGTTATTTATACAACTCGGCATGTCGGATTCAGATTGACTAGGTGTTTGTATCAAAGAGGAACTCATCGAGTCTATGACAAACTCGACGAGTAGTAGCGAGCAGAATTGAAAAATAAGAGTAGGGACTCGACGAGTTGGTGGCCCAACTCAACGAGTCAGGTCAAATGTATGTTGACTTTGACCAAGAGGTTGACTATAACCAGGGGTAAAATAGTCATTTTACTCTCAGTATAGTTATTAGTATTTGATTGAGTGTACTTATGGAAATTGTAGACGGGGTGAAACCGGAGCAGCATCAGACACGTTCCAGAGCAGTTCATTCAGCAACTAGACTACGAGGTGAGTCTTCCTTCCTGTAGGAAGGGGTCTATAGCCACAATGTCGGCCCTTTTAGTTAGTAGTAGTTTCAGACCTTGGTCTGATGCAGTAGTTAGATAGCTTGATGTCTTTGTGATTCAAGTATGTTTTGTTTTATGTGTTCCGGGCATCGGTCCGATGCAACATGCAGTATTTGTTTATGCTAGTTGATATGTTTATGCTATGCCATGTTATGCTCAGTCAGTTTCCAGACTTCGGTCCGATGCAGGAGACAAGGTCCCAATTAGTTCCGGGCTGCGATCCGATGCAGTTTACGGGCTTCAGTCTGATGTAGTGGGCAAGGCCGTAGTTAGTTCCGGACTGCGGTCTGATGTAGTTTCTGGACTTCGGTCCGATGCAGTGGGCAAGGCCCAATATATCTTTATATGATATTGTATGGTATGTGGTAGTTTGGGGGAGGTCACTAAGCTTCGTGCTTACAGTTTCAGTTTTGGTTTCAGGTATTTCTGCAAGTAAAGCGAAGAGCTCGGGATGATGGCATCGCACACACCACGGCTTCAGTTTTTTTCCTCGGAGTTGATTTTGCTTTTCATTGACATGATTTGATACAATCTTGATACAGTTTTCTTTTGGTACTTTATTGTGGTTTTGATACATTGACATATGGGTTTTATTCTATTGTATTGATCTAATGATTTTAGTAATGATTAAACAAAATTTTTTTGGGGTCGTATTTTGGGATGTTACAAGTGGTTTCTTCTTCTTTATTCAAGACATTTATCCGTGAACTGAAACTATAACAAAATAATTATATGAGGAATACTTTTGAAAAACCTCAATAATCCAAGGGATAAGTTTACAGAGAAGAGGAGATGTACTGGTTTTATGGGATCAAATCAAGATGGCAAAACTAAAACTAAAATACATTTTTGGTGAAGGGGGTTGTATATAGCTAGGGCTCATAAGGGAAAATCTTATGTAATTTCATGATGCTTGAAAACCCAAAATGAACAAATTTGCAATAAAAATAAATATTATTAGATTTCGGTTTGGTTTATAGTCTAAGAGATAGATAAAACCAAATCAATAAGCAAAGAAACCCATGATAACTATCTTTTTTTGCATGAACTAAATAGTAAAAAACAATTTATACAAAACTCACCCATTGTTTATCAGGATTTTGATTTAAGCAAATGATGAAAATAACAATAAAAGATGCTTCGTTGGATAACTTTGAGATTCCTGCCGAAAATAAATATTAAGAAGGTTTACAGTTTGATACGATGGAATTGGGGAAAGGAATGGAATGGCCGATTCTCAGCAATCCTTCTCAGAATCCTGCAAATGAGCACACCCCCAAATTCAAATTCAATTATATAGTAAGAAGTAAATATTAAAAAACAAGAAGGTCACAACCATGTCATAAATAATAACAATGTAGGATTGTTACAAAATAAAGACCAACCTATAATCAATTTTCTGTTTCAACATTTGTTCACTCTCTAATATCCTAATGGTAGCGTAATTCCGATGTTGATTAGTGCTAAGTTCTGAAACTTCAATGTTTCATCTTCAATTCAGAGAATCAAAGTGCGTCCAAGTTACATAACCAATTTTCAAATCGATTAAAACATATACAACCAATTTTATCATTACCAAAGATTTTGAACAAACCATAAGTTAAATTATGGTGGCATATTTACGAACAACAAATTTACGTCAAATCCTTGAATTCATGAAAAAGAGGAAGACAGGTTACATAGCAAAAGAAACAGACAGACCGAAAACATTACCTGAAGAAGTAGTCAGAGGTTCAATAGTCGACCCCAACCGGAGGTCGAGACACCGACGACGACAATGGTAGGGAAGAAAGAAGCTTCAACAAATTGGGATGGAGAATATGTGTGTGTGCGCGCGTTGATAAGAAGAAAAAAACATAGACTGAATTAGAATTAAGGCACTTCCATCTTACTCAATTTAATTTTGTTGAATTTTAATAGTCTTTATTATATTTCCTAAATTTAAATATAAGTTACGTTTTATAAAATTGGTTAACAATATTAAAACCTTAGTAACCGGAAATTCAAGATTTAATATATGGAAAGTTTTTATTGAAATTATATACCTTTCATTTGGGGAAAATGATGTCAGCAAATTGATCTAAGGGTGGAAAACATAGGATTAAAACACAATGAAGGGTCCTGATTGTTTAAGATGATGTTATAAAGTTTGTGTTTTATTATATATATATATATATATATATATATATATATATATATATATGTGTGTGTGTGTGTGTGTGTGTGTGTGTATATATATATATATATATATATTATAACCAATTATTATTTAATAGGATACATGGACCGGGCCTGATGAGACCTAGTTTAGGGGACGCAACTGCCTAACCCTGGGCCACATAATTCCCTTCGTCACTAGCTGTATGTATCGATTCCTATCATCATGCCTTTCTTCATCATCTCTGGTAGTCGTTGCATTATACTCTACTTGCATTAAACCCAGTTGCAGTTGTTTTATCAGTCTCATCAGGTCATTGGTTGGGTTATCTGGTGACACATACATACAATATTGTGATGACATCAAGCTTTCGAGAAAAGCATTGGTTGGGTAAACTTATTTCCCACCATGAGACTGTATCCCCGTAACCACCATTCTCAATCGCTTTCTCTCGTATCGTGGCCTTCGTCTCCAGTGAATTCTTCAACCTGAAATTGATCGATTATCAATGACTACTAGCACTTTCATTGAGATTTTTATTTTATAATTCATGTGAATGTATGAAAAAAGAGTATTCTATTCTTTTACTTTCTTTGATTATGAAGCAACACAAAGCATGCTTTTCAGATATGTTTCTTCTAGCAAACACCCTTGAATCTTGATACTAGCCTAATAAATTATTTGAGTTTTACCTACAAACAACCATTATAAGTAAACCAGTGTAAGAGCTCAATTAGAAATCATCAGCATGAACTTATCATAGACATTTAATCAACTTATATGACACTTATAAGTGTGAAGAATTTGTGGACCATGTATCAGCGTGAAATATGTTACTTCAAAGCTTGATCTTGAACACGGTTTCTGATACAGATACTAATATGGTAATTAAAAGGGAAAATGAACCAAAGTTGCTACATGCATAATCTAGAAGGAGTAAAAGGGTAAATCAGGAATATGGCTAAAATCTTTTAGAGAGAGAGAGAGAGAGAGAGAGAGAGAGAGAGTAATAAATAAGGAAGACGATTTCATTTGTGGGGGTCGAGAACTTTGATAGGGCAATACGTTTGTATTGGCTATTAAGCTTTCTGCTTAGAGAGAAGGAGATTCCCTGGGCAATCTTTTAGATTGTGTTATCATTTAATCAATTAGTCTGTTTCATCATCTTCTTTCTTTCATTCTGTTTGATCATATTTCATCAAACCCTAATTTTTGTTCTTCATCATTGGTCCGACATGCCGTGACCTGCCGGAGTTGAGTAATGATGGTGCCACTAGTGGTGGACACTAGATCTATCTCTCAACGACTGGATCGTCATGATAAGCAAATAACAAGGATTCATGAAGATATTGAGGAAATCAGGACCATTGTGGCCTCAATCCAGACCGCTATGGCCTTAGAACGGACATAAGAGGCTGCGTTTCGTGAAGTAATGTTGGATTGGATGAAGCAACAGGATCCAAATTTCTTCTCAAATATTAGCATTGTTTCTGATCCGACTGGGAAATTACCGACATCGGTGGTTGATGATGCTTCTAGAGATACGTCCGGCATGGTTAGCGGTTTCCAATCTCATCCTACTTCTGGTGTCGTTTTGGTTGCATCAATGGGATTGCCTTCGGTGGAGAAGAAGATCAAGCTAAATTACAAAAATTCATCTTCTAGAGTTCCAGATTCCACATGTACTTCTCCGGTCACCCCTGTACCTATGAGTGAAGGTTCGTTGTGTTTCTCTGGTTGCAATCCCACTCCGAAGTCATCAAAGGTGGTGGAGAGCTTGCCATGGAAAGCGAACAGGAACGGTTATGAGCAGCTGGACACGATCAAAAAATCATTTCCGGTTTATGAGTCTACGATACACTTGTTAACCTTCTCCGATCCAAAACCAGAGGGGGGGAATTTGGGTCCGACTAAATCTTCAACGACGGCAGCAACGTACGAGCATCGTCCAGGTGTACTTCCGATCAGGACATTGGCGGAGTGCAAAGGGAGCTTCACGAAGATAACGGCTCCGTTAAATGATGGATGGGAGGAGGTTTATTTAGGTCAACACAATAATGGGCTTAAAAATGAAAATTGGGCTGCAATTGATTCATGGGGCTCACAATTGTTAACTCGAAAGATAGACTGGGTTTTAACGAGCAAACAAAATATAAGCCCACTTGTTATTAACGCCACTGATCAACGCCTTGTTAATTGGAATGAAAATAACCACGTTTATCCTAATCAGTTGCCATCACCTTCCCCAATGCCGGCTATGGCTTACGTGTTTCAACGGGATCGGAGAGTTAGATCGTCGAGTCGCACGGAATGGAAGGAACGAAAGAAAAAGGACCTAAGTTTTCATGGTGGTTCTCAAGTCGGCTTGTCTCACAAATGTCATAAATACAAAGAAGGCTGCGATCACTATACGTGGGATGCTAATCAGGCATCAGTTGATCAATTGTCAAAAAAGGTTTCTGTGGAATCATGTCAAATTTTGGAGTTCTTTAGAGTTGTTTCCAATTATCAATCAGGACTGAGTGATAATCACTTGGTGTTTGTGACTGAGTTATGTGTGCAGTTGAACATTCGACTAGGAAGCTGTTCAATTGAAGTGAAGTCATTAGTTGCTAAGTATGGTAACACTAGATTGGAATGGCTCACATTTTTTGGAAAAGTGAATCACAATTGGGATATGTATTGGACGCAATTTGTTTATAACGATGTCACGGTTCATCTTCAAGGGTTGGGCACGCCTCAGTGTTCTTTAGCTTCACGCCATAGTGTGTTTTCATTAAGAGATAAGTCTTCCCTAGATGGTCCTTCATTATGTGATTTGCTATTTTTTGTCTGGGAAGTGAATTGTCATCATATACAAAAGTTACACTCATGGTTTAAGTCTATTATTGGAGCTGGATTATGGTTTAGTTTTATTTTCAATCAGGGCATTGGGATGTCATCCGTTGAGAATGTGTGTGGTCGGACACCCCCACCAATGGGGATGCAAGATGTACCAGGTAGGGTGAGGGTTGAAGAGGTAATGAAAGAACGGCACGAATGGGATGATTTCTGGAAAAGGAATGTGCATTTTGGCTCAAGTTTTTTACCTCCTGATTTGAAAACTAAGGCTGCTTATGGGGTTATTCCTATGGTTTTCTTCGTTACTTGTACCATTGAGAATCGGCTAGACCAAGTACACAAGTGGTTAATCCATTGGAAGGGTCAACCGGATGGAAAAGCTACTAGAGAAGTCGAGTTGAATTTGAATATTATGAGGCAATTTCCAGAAGCAAGTCTTGAGGACAAGACTTGTTTTGAAGGTGTGGGTAATGATACAGATACTAATATGGTAATTAAAAGGGAAAATGAACCAAAGTTGCTACATGCATAATCTAGAAGGAGTAAAAGGGTAAATCAGGAATATGGCTAAAATCTGTTAGAGAGAGAGAGTAATAAATAGGGAAGATGATTTCATTTGTGGGGGGTCGAGAACTTTGATAGGGTAATGCGTTTGTATTGGCTCTTAAGCTTTCTGCTTAGAGAGAGGGAGATTCCCTGGGCAATCTTTTAGATTGTGTTATCATTTAATCAATTAGTCTATTTCATCATCTTCTTTCTTTCATTCTGTCTGATCATATTTCATCAAACCCTAATTTCTGTTCTTCATCAGTTTCCAAAACTTAATGCAAATCCTTAAAATTTCGAACCCCATTCTCTGGACCATAATACCCTTGGCTTCCTTTGGTTCTTGGTGCAAGCAAAAAGAAAGAAACACTTGCTGCAACGATTTCTTTTTCATGGTAGTGACAATACATAAATTCTTTGACCCAACATGTTGCAGGTCCGACTATCTATTGTAATCTTCCTGAAAAGGCTATTCTCTTATGACGTTTCACAAATAAACCCACGTGATGACCATTCTTCCTGTTAACAACAAAACTGATAGTGCAAGCTTATAACTTTACATGGAGATGGACAAAAATACCTCTTTAGAGTTTGTTCATATTCTCTGTAACTCAAAATACTACATTAGAAAGTAAATTTGTAGCTTGAGTACCATCTGGCATTAGAAACTTTGATCATTGAGAAGACATGCATCATCTTTCTGGTAAAGACAGAAAAAGAAAGACACATAGATATGATGGGTTTTGAGCATTCTAACACTTCCTAAGTGTACATGCAACCCTAATAACCTTGGATCTATGTTTGTCTAATTATCATGCAAAGTTGAATTCCAAGGTTATATTCCTATCTAGCCCTACATGGGGAACAATTTTAACTTAAAGTATAGATAGAATAACTTACCTTGTTGTTGTTTGTGTTCCTTGAAACCTTGTGAGCCTAGCACCCCAAGTGTGATGCCTCAAATGCTTCACACAACACCAAGTGCTCTTGGAAGAACTTATGAGAGAACACACACATCTCAAAAATCGGCCAAGCCCTCTTGTTTCTTAGTGTAACCGATTTTAGGTGGAGAACATGTTTCTTATATAGTGTTGACACATCTAGGGTTAAACCCTAATGTGTCATGACTCTTCATTTCCATGACCCATGGGTTTGTAACTCCCATGGAGCATCCATGGAGCATCCAATGGGTGGAACCCAACTTGACAATCCATGGAGCCTCTTAGCCCACTATACAAGATATGGATGATTTACATAATCAACCCATATATTTAATTAGTTATCTTTTGATCACATAATTAATTCTAAATTAATTCTTGATCAAACTAATCAAATAATATTATTAATATATTAGAACTTATAATATATTAATAATCTCCAAGTGTTATTTCTCTCATTTAGTCTATCCAATTGCATGGTGCCATGCAACCCAAATGGACCATACCGGGTCGGGTCAAGTACATACCAGAAATAGTTATGGACTTAGACACCTTATCCAACAGTCTCCCACTTGGATAAGTCTAATAACTATTACTGCAAGTATGACTTCAGGAACCGATCGGCAATCGTAGCTCTTTACAAGGTTTCTCGGAACTGAGAAGATGATTGTACGCCATTTAAGATAAGTGATCATATAATCCTCTGTTCTACATATCAGTTGGACAAATACACGGAACAACGTCTTACTTATTGTCCAACAGTTTGTTTCCTGATTTCCGATTTGTTTGACAAAGAACTTCATTGAACACATCAATTTAGTTCTGACCGGGCCCGGTACATAGGTCAAAACAAAATCATCGAGGGGCCCAGATATCAGCTTCTAATCCAAGAAGGAACAGATAAACTTCGACTCATATGTTTGTTCTACCACTCATTGAATTACACACAAGAGCACGTTTTATAACATCGAGTTACCAATGCGTTTTCGTACAATCAATGCATAACCAACTTGTAATTAACAAATCATATCTCTAGGTTTGAAGACTTATATGATATTACCGTCTCACGATCACTCGAGATAGAATTCCATGAAGTGATTCCAGTGAGCGTGGGTTTTGTCTAATGCTCAGAACTTATGAGCACTCATGATTGCTGTAGCCTTGTCCAAGACCTCTACAACCAACCATGACAGTCTTGATTCATACCTACTTCTGACATATGACCGACTGTGGAGGTTTGAATAATATTTTATACCAAACAAAATTATCCTGGAAGTCAAAACATGCAAAAGAAATATAGTAAACGATCGACATGAGATAGCAACATTTTACTCATGAATAAAAAACATTTTTATTCATCATCAGATGTCAATTACACTTTACAAATTTCGAGGTTATCTAACTACTAAATCTAATATCATCCTTTAACCCGATGCTTCGAGCATGTTGGAGATGCTTAACCCGAGTCAGTCCCTTCGTGAGGGGATCTGTCGGATTCTCATCTGATGATACTCTCTCTGCCACGAGGAGTCCTTCTTCGATCCGATGTCTGATGAAATCGTATTTTCTGTCGATGTGTCTGGATCTCCCGTGATCCCTTGGTTCCTTTGCTAAGGTAACAGCACTTTCACTATCACAGAAAATTTCCATTGGCTCTTTAATAGTTGGTACAACTCCAAGGTCTCCAATGAAGTTCCTCAGCCATAACGCCTCCTTTGCCGCCTCGCTAGCTGCAATATACTCTGATTCACAAGTAGAATCCCGCCACTGTCTCTTGCTTGGAACTCTTCCAAGAAATTGCTCCTCCATTTAGGGTAAAGACCCAGCCCGACTGAGAGCGGAAATTATCCCTATCAGTCTGGAAGCTAGCATCACTATACCCTACAACTCTCAAGTCATCACTCCCACCAAGGGTAAGGACCCAGTCCTTAGTCCTTCGTAGGTACTTGAGAATATTCTTTACTGCAGTCCAGTGTGCCTTGCTAGGGTTCCCCTGAAACCTGCTAACCATGCTCAGGGCAAAAGCTACATCAGGTCGAGTACACGTCATAGCATACATGATCGATCTTACAGCCGAAGCATAAGGTATTCGACTCATTTGTGCTATCTCAGCCTCAGTACTAGGGCTTTGTGTCTTACTCAGTTTGGCGTTACTCTGGATGGGCAATTCTCCTTTCTTGGAGTCCTGCATGCTGAATCTCTTCAGCACCTTATCCAAGTAGGTACTTTGACTAAGTCCAATTAGTCTTTTACTCCGGGTCTCTCAAGATCCTTATCCCTAAAATATAGGCAGCTTCACCAAGGTCCTTCATAGCGAAACACTTTCCAAGCCAGGATTTTACTTCCTGCACGGTTGGAATGTCGTTTCCTATGAGTAGTATGTCATCCACATACAATACCAAGAAGCTAACTATACTCCTACTAGCCTTGACATACACACAAGATTCATCTTCACTCTTTAGAAAAGCCAAATTCCTTGACCTTTTCATCAAAGCAAAGATTCCATCTGCGAGGTGCTTGCTTTAACTCATAAATGGATTTCTCAAGCTTACACACTCTATTGGGGTACTCGTTGCTGACAAAACCCTCTGGCTGACTCATGTAAACATCTTCAGCCAACTTTCCATTAAGGAAAGCGGTTTTGACATCCATTTGCCAAATTTCATAGTCATGAAATGCGGCTATGGCTAACAGAACCCGAATAGACTTAACCTTGGCTACCGGAGAAAAGGTCTCATCATAATCCACTCCAGGAATTTGAGGGAAGCCCTTTGCAACCAGTCTAGCCTTATAAGTGTATACTTTACCATCCATGTCGGTCTTCTTCTTGAAGACCCATTTGCACCCTACAGTATATCGACCTGGTACATTCTCAACCAAGTTCCAAACTTGATTGTCATACATGGATTGTATCTCGCTATCCATAGCCTCTTTCCATTTAGCAGACTCGGGGCCTGCCATGGCTTCCTCGTAGCTGTTAGGGTCATCTTGACTTACTAGTATCCCATCACTAATAAGTGTCTCACCTTCTGCAGTAATATGGAATCCATAGTAATGCTCAGGTGCACTCCTAACTCTCGTGGAACGCCTCAGAGGTACAGATTCGTCAATTGGCTCAACAGGAGTTTCCTCCTCAAGTTGAGGGCTAGAGTTTGAAGTTCCTTCACCACTTGACTCTTGAATTTCTTCAAGATCAATTTGCCTCCCACTGTCTCCTTGGCTTATAAACTCTCTTTCTCGAAAGACTCCTCTTCTTGCTACAAAGACCACATTGTCACTAGGTCTGTAGAAGAGGTAACCAAAGGATTGATGTGGGTAGCCGATGAAAATACACCTCTCGCTTCGGGGTTCGAGCTTATCATGAGTCTCGCGTCTCACGAAAGCCTCGCAACCCCAAATCTTGATGTGGTCTAGTTTAGGTACTTAGCAGTCCACATCTCGTGAGGAGTTTTGGCAACTTTCTTTGTAGGGACTAGATTAAGGATATGGGCGGCAGTCTCTAAGGCATCCCCCAGAATGAGATTGGTAGCGAAGCTCGACTCATCATGGAACGAACCATGTCCAACAAGGTTCGATTACGCCTCTCAGCCACACCATTCAACTGCGGTGTCCTGGGAGGTGTCAATTGTGAGACAATCCCACATTCCCTTAGATAGTCGAGGAACTCTAAACTAAGATACTCACCACCTCGATCGGATCGAAGCATCTTAATGTTCCTGCCCAATTGATTCTCGACTTCCTGTTTAAATTCCTTAAACTTCTCGAAAGTCTCTGACTTATGCTTGATTAAGTAGACATATCCATATCTACTGTAATCATCAGTAAAAGTCAAATAATAACGATTAGCATCCCTTGTGGCATGTTTGAATGGTCCACACACATCCGTGTGTATAAGGTCCAACAAACCTTCACCTCTTTCACACGAGCCTGTGAAGGGTGACTTTGTCATTTTTCCAAGTAAGCATGATTCGCAACTATCATCTGACTTTAGGTCAAACGACTCCAAGACTCCATCCTTTTGGAGTTGGCCTATGCGTTTCTTGCTTAT